CTTTGTGTTCCTCATGTGTCCCTGTCATGGTCTGCGTCTGCGTCTTCCTTCATGTGCCTCCTGATGTTTCTCCATCCCTCTCTAGAGTCCCTTCTGTTTCTCATAGCGCTCTCATGTGTCCTTTGTCTGCGTCTCATTTAGGTGTCTTCTGTTTGTAGCCCTTTTAAGTCAATCCCTCCCAGGTCCTGTGTCATTCATTCATCCCCAGCCCCTCCAGGTCTTCCTTCACGTTCTGTAGCTCCAGCCTCTTTGTCCCCAGCTCGGTGTGTGTGTGTGTGTGTGTGTGTGTGTGTGTGTGTGTGAGTCCTTCCCTCAGTCTCTAGTTTTAGTTTTAGTGTTTTAGGTTTATCTGTCCTCCTTTGGTTCTGTTTCCCTATTTAAATAAATTATTGTCACCTGCCTTCCCTCCAGCACTCACTCCACACACCTGCTGCCATTTTTCCTAATTACTCCTCCCTGTGTATATAAGCCCTGTCTTGTCTTGTCTTGTGTCGGTCCATTGTGGTTATTCTGTCAAGTCTTCTCTAGTCTCCAGTGTTTTTTGATCTCAGCCTTCTCTAGCCTCTTGTGTCTTTGTCTCTAGTTTTTGGACAGCCTTTGGATTTATTGGCTCCCAGCCTTTTTGGATTTATTTTGTTTTTGGCTCATCCAAATAAAGGATATTTTCTTATGCCACCTCCTGCCTCGTGTCATCTTGGGTTCCTGCATTTTGGGTCCTACCAACCTCCAGCATATTGTGACAGTCCCCTGGTCTTCAGCCCTCCAGATATCTCTCCCAGGTCCTCTGTTCCTTTAGTCTTCCCCAGTCACCCCTCTGCAGTTTTTTCAGTTTCAGCTTTTCATTTTATTAATCTCTTTAGTGTGTTTTTTCCCCACCGGTGTTTGTAGTTTTTCTTCCCCTTAGAATATTAGTTATGTTGCTGCTTTTCTTGTCTTTAGGTTTTACTCTTAGGTCATGTTAGTTTCCTCCCTGATTAGTTAATTGCTTTCACCTGGTTCTCTCTCCACACACCTGCAGTCCAACTGCCTCCCATCGTGCCCCAGTGTATATAAGCCCTGTCTTTGTCTCAGTATCTTGTCGGTCCATTGTTTGTGTCCGCGTTGTTTTGTGCTCCATGTGAGCTTTTGCGCCT